TCAAGGTGAGAGCTCTACCACTTGAGCTACAGCGCCACTTCTGTTTTTCTGGTGGTTTATTGGAGATAGAAGTCTCACAGTCTCTCCTGCCTGGGCTGGCTTTGAACTGCGATCCTCAGATCTCAGCCTCCTGAGTAGCTAGGATTACAGGCGTGAGCCACCAGCGCCCGGCTTGACATTGTTCTTTTCTGACCTCTAACCTTCTCTTGATCTAGACCTATCCTTGAAGGAAGGCAGAAGCAAAGTCATGGCCCACTTCTGATGGAACATGCCTCTTGTCTTCCGCTTGGAGTCACAGCTCTTTCTTCCAGCATCAATGTCTGCCTAAGGGGCTTTACTTCTGTCTTTCCTGCCCATCCAAGGGGAAGGAATTTGCTTCTATCTACCAGACAGTTTGCATTCTTTTGGTGTCCTGATTTGATCAGAAAGGTCTTTAGTCTTGGTGAGGAGGGGTTACCTATCATTCTCATCCCTTGTAACAGCTCTTAAGTTAAAAGCATACAAAAGCTCACTGCTATTTAAAGATATCTTCTAAAACTAAAGGACTTTTTGGACTTGATATTAGCTTTTTAGCATTTTCATTTGAGTTAACAGTGTAATTATTCCACTGTCCAGAATCTGGAAAAAGAAAAAGAATTTGAAGTTGTTTTTGTTGCTCATTTGATTGCTTGTGTTTACTTTTGGGGCTTTTATTGTCCATATATTTCTTGGCTTGCTTTTCTCTCAGATAGCTTTCTGCCTAGTATTTGTTAATTACTCTACACTAACATTTATTTATTCAAGACAAAGCACAGACAATGTAACATTGCAGTTCTTATTTGACATAGTGCTGTGGCACAATAGTCATTGATAAATTAACTGGGATTTTTTTCCTGGAATTTTTTTTCTTTTGAATTTTGTGAAAAGCCTTTAAAATGCAGAGAGCAATATAATCCTACAGTTTGGTAGGGAGAGGCTTATGTATCTGACATATAAATGCACATTTTGAAGATAATTGATTCCTTAAATCCCCAGGCAAAAAGAAACAATCATTGTAGTAAGTTAATACCTGAATTACTGAGCAGAATTAAGAACCTCAGACTTTTCATGCCTTCCCTCTTCCCCTAATCCCTCAGGCCTTTAGAGATGTTTAGACCATGGGGTAGAGTGTCTTTATTTTTTCCTTTTTTTAGTGCAATAGTTTAAGTGATTGAGATATAGCTATTTGGCAGTGGGCAGCAGATTTTCCTTTTTTATGGTAATAACATTATGTGTTGCTACTGTCATCCAAATCTCTTCTAATTTTATTTTTTAAATAAAATTTATTGTTTTTTATATAGAAAAACATAAAGAAGAAAAATATATTCACCATCTCATTCTTGCCATTAGTAAATAAAAGTAGTATATTTCCCTGACTGAAAATTTCATTCAGTATAGACAGGAACACAATGAAAAACAATGCTCCCTTGGTTTGATTGGTTATGGAATTTCTGATTTCAATCTACCCATGTATAGCCCTAAATATGTTCCATATTTAAGAATAAAGATTACTTGTCAAGAGCAAAGTAGAAAATGACAAGGGTGATGATACACAGCACAACAGTTCCTGTTTAAAACAAAACAGAACAAAACAAAACAACAACAACAAAAAAACCCACCCTGGTGCTAAGACAATATGGCAGAAGTAGTCCAAAATGCTATAAAGTGATACCTGTTAGAAAGTCAGAGCAGCTCTTAAGGAGTGTATTTGAATTATCCTGAGGACTGCAAAGAAAGCGTGACTCCTCTTTTTATAGTTGGTGGGTAAGTTACCAATTGGGAATCAGCAACATACATCTCTAAGGCCATGTGTGCATGTGTAAATGGTAAAAAACAACAATAACAACAAAAAAAACCCAAGAGATCCTGGGGTCAGCTAAAAACATAAACTTACATGATGCTTTTCCTTGAGCAACTTTAGAGCACTTTATTTTTTTTTTAAGAATTCATAATCTCTTAATAGCCTTGAGTGATCTCTAAGAGATCCTTGTGGTATGGAGTTTTGATGACATATGCCAGCCAGACTTAGGTATTACAATGTGCATCTGCTAAATCAATGCTAGACTCTCTCTAGCATCGAGAGACCGTGACAGCGTCATGTGTGTGTTGCTCTTTGATCTATACAAGCTCACAATCTAGTTCATCTCTAGCAAACTTTCTTTCCCCAGGACACGAAAATTACATCTTCTAAAATTATGAAACCAGCATGGGAGTATGACTTTTATATTTATGATGGCAACATAATCCAGACAGCCCCTGATTTCGAAGCATTCAAGGAGCATTTCCGCCTCGCTTGGGGGAGTATATTTTCTGTCTTGGAACAAGTTGTGAAGTTTCTTCGGGACTATGCAGTGCCAGAGGTCAAAGTGAAAGGGAGGAACTTGATATGCCTCCTTCCAGAGTTTGAGCTGAAGAGTCAGCTTAACAGATATGACATTCTGTCAATTTTCGAGAACCCACTCCACGTCCAAATGCTGGTCAACCTCCCAGGACAGAGGTTCAAGGGTCAGAATGGAAAGTTGGAGGCTGTCAAGAAGATCCAAGCCACGTGGAGATGCTACAAAGCCAGAAAGTTATTTCTGCTCTTCCGCCGGCAGAAGTGGGCTTCGGGGGTGATCGCCATCGCGTGGCTTTTACACTGCCATAAGACGAGGCTCAAGAAGATCCTGAAGGAATCGCGTCAGAGACACCTGGAGAATTTCCGCATTCGCGCCAAGGTGCACCAGGCTGCCAGCTGTTAAAGCAGACCGCCTTTGCTAAACATTTCCTGCTTGAATGACTGCAATAAGTTGTCTCTTTATCTGTTCCTTTCTCTCTCCAGCTGCCCCCTCCCCTTAGCCTGTGATGCATTAATCCCCATATTTGTTTATACATCATATCTTAGCCCAAAAAAGAAATCAAGTCATTGTGCCTGCAAAAACCTACTGCAATTTCATAGACCCAAATCCCTTCATTTTGACTTTATAGTTGTGCCCGGGTAGGGGGGTGAGGGAGGGGAAAATCACCATTTTAACTGCATTACCTTCTCTCCCTCTATATATACCTTCTGGCACTTTTAATTTTCTAAGGAAAAAAATCCTCTCCTGTCTACATTGCTGTCACCACTTTGTCAGAAAGTATTTAAGTTTGTAGACAGCCTTTTAATTAGTGCTCACAATTTCATTTATGTTTGCTTTCTCTCTCTCTTTTTTTCATTCATATTCTGTTAATTAAGTGAGCTGCCTCTAATCTTCCCCTGCCAGTAGCATCATGTAGCCACCTAATTAAATTAATTGGGGAAGATGTTTTAAGTATGTAATTAAATCAATTAATATAATTTATGCCTGGCTTAAGTGTACAGTGGGAAAAAAAAAAAACACAAAGCTGAAGTTTGAGTAGATGAATCCACTACAGCTTCCTGTCACTGATCAATGCTCTTCTTGATTTTTAGCATCTGGAAGCCAACTGGAATCGCATCAGGACTTCCAGGCGGACCATTATCCATATCCCGTCATTAGGTATAACACTTTTGCCTGCAAATCTATCAGCAACCTCTATTACCCACCACATTATGGCTCCTTGATTGAGTTCAAGGAAGGCCCCTTGTTTTATTCAAATTGGTCTCGGCAGGAAAATGTTCTCGACATGATGAGAGTAATAACACAGGGCCCTCGCTTGAAACGGCGTTTAATTTGGGGATTAAGCAAATAAAGTCATTAGGGGGGGGGGGAGGACTGCTATTCAGTGGAGAGGTGATTTGCTGTAATTCGCTTTCATCTGTATGAAATGAACTAAAAAGTTGTCTTTTTTTCCCCCCCTGAAATAACAGATAATGTTTTCGATCTTCTTTAATGATAGAAGAACACGGGCTTGTGTGTGTTGTTGCTGTTACGCCAGTAAGCCAGGATATTGCTTGTACACTGTTTTTAATCAAATGTGCAGTCAAAATGATAAGCTACATTCTCTGAAATTATTTAGTTCTAATTACGAGCAGATGGGATGCTTTATTTGCACCTAGGGCGCCTGAGCAAAAGGAAATGCTGTGTGAACAAGAATAATTAAGAAGTTGAATAGTGTTTTTTGCGCTTAAATAATCTGCAGTTTCATGTTAATTAGCACTAATGTAATTATTTAATTACATTTATGAATTGGGGGAACTTAAAAGCTGTTGTCTGAAACACAGTGGTAAAATAGGTATGCCAAAATGACAGAGGGAAATTCCGAAATTCACATTGGAAGTGCTTTGAAAACATGAACTGCCATCAAAATGTTTGGTTTGTTTCTTTGCTTTTCTTCACCACTACCTGGTATGTTAAATTTCCTGGATGAAGCTAAATTTTCTATGCTTACTCAGTAGAGTTTTTGAGAAACAACAAAACCCACTAAATCTCCTTACTACATATCAGCTCTTTGTTAAAGCCTTTTAAATATAGCAGTGCAAAGCTGGGCGCTAATGGCTTATGCCTGTAATCTTAGCTACCCAGGAGGCTGAGAAGTGAGGATCACAGTTGGAAGCCAGCTTGGTCAGGAAAGTTCATGAGGCTCCGATTAGCTTGCAAAAAGCTAGAAGTAGGGATGTGGCTCAAGTGCCAATCTTGAGCAGAAATTGAGCAGAAAAAAGCTAAGGGACAGTGGCCTGACCTTGAATTTAGGCCCCAGGACTGGCACACATGCTAAAATATATATAGCAGGGCATCAAATAATGTAGTGTTATAGAATTCTAGATAATAATTTTTTTGCGCTCATGTGAATATTCCTGTTTGTCTTCTCATGTGGAATATAGAAACAAATACAATTAAATAGTACTATGAAAAGAAAAACACCAAAGTTATTATATGATATGTGACATAATTATATAAATATGAAGATTACTTTTAATTAGTAAAATATTAATTGTGTCAAAGTAAAACAAACTTACATTGGTTCTGGAGCATGTGCTTAAAAGAGCTAAGTACTTGTAGAAAAGTTAAGAAAAATCTATGAGTTGTAAAGATCTTTTAGAGTTGGTTCTGCTTCATGGCTTTTGAAAGGAATTTGTTTTTTCTTAGGATGTGAGTGAGGATGTGAGACTGATCTGAATTTTGTTTTAACTTACACTATTGTTTCAATAAGACCACTTTTGCACACAGAATTGGTTCACACACAGGAATTGTGCTTGTAATTGATTGCAACCCAAGAGAGGCTAATTGCAGACCCAATTAACTGACTTGGGTCCTTCAAATAAGGTGTAAGAGAGCCTTTGCTTCTGCAACTAATTGTGGATCTGACCTGATACTAAGTGATGGGTTTTGGTTTGGGTTCCCTGTTTTACTCAAAAGTACAAACATGAATAGGGCCTCTGATTTACAGTGCTGATAAACACTAAGGTAGTATAAGTAATGAGTACGAACTTCTTCCCTCCTCCTCTCCACTTCTGACCCTTCCAAATAGCCTCCAACAACCAGTTTTACAGGGAAGCCCGATAAAAAGGCGTTTCCAAAGAAGTAAAAATCAAAAGCCTGGTAATGTAAAATAGGTAATAGAAATACTTTTAATTAAAATGTCCTGAAATTTTTAAAAGGGCTTGTTGACTAGATATTAGGTGCCTGAAAAATCTGATCAAAGAAATTAGAATTAGCATTACTCTACATATCATATTAAAACAAGCACTCTTGTAGATTATACATACTCAGTTTAAATAAGAATATAATAAATATGAAGGTCTGTATTGCGATATTTTTTTTTTGGGTCTGGTCATGGGGCCTGAAATCTGGGCCTGGGCATTGTCCCTCAGCTCTTCAGCTCAAGGCTAGCGCTCTACCATTTGAGCCACAGTGCCACTTCCCAGCTTTTTTTCTTTTTGCTTATGTGGTGCTGAGGTCTCATGCCAGGGTCTCATGCATACAAGGCAAGTGCTTTACCACTGAGCCACCTTCCCAGCCCTGCGATATTTTTGTTTGTAAATAACACAATAGTATTTCAAAGGACAACTGCTAATTATATATATATATATTGGTCATGTGGCTTGAACTCTAGGCCTAAGTGCTGTCCCTGAGCTCTTCAGCTTAAGGCTAGCACTCTACCACTTGAGCCGTAGCACCACTTCCAGCTTTTTCTGTTTATGTGGTCATGAGGAATTGAACCCAGGGCCTCATGCATGCGAGGCAAGCACTTTACCACTGAGCCACCTTCCCAGCCCCTAATTATATATTTTAAGAGTTAAAGACAGCTCTGGTTTTTTCCCAATGAGGCATTTAAAGAATCTAATTGTGAGAGGCAATGCCTCTGTGTCTCTGATCTTATAAAATACCATTTATTGAAATGAATTCCAGGAAATGGAAACAAGAGGGTTTTTCCCCCCTTTTTTTCTTGTTTGTTTATCTGTCTTTAAGGGTCATGGAGGGACAAGGGTGAACAAATGCAGCAGTGGTACTCACTAGACACTGTGTTAAAAATGAATTTGTGTGTGGGAACTAACGGGAAAAACTGGGAGAGACTGAAGGAAGGGGTGACATTGTCCAAAAAGAAATGTACTCAGTACCTAACTTATGAAATGGTAACCCCTCTGTACATCACCTTTCTAATAAAAATTTAAAAAATATTATTTTAAAAAAATCTGTATTTTCACCAGAGAATAAAGCGTAGGCTTTGATAGTATGGAATTGATTTCTACATCTGTCTTGTGGACATTAAAATCAGCTTAAATAATATTAAGCAAATCATCTCATACCTATTCCCAGGCAGAATTTTTTAAACTCTTAAATTTCACCTTTTTTTTTTTAGTTGTATGGGAATATATTTCTCTTGTTTATCACTTCTAGGAATATGCAAAGATGGAACCAATCCAACATGGCATCTTTGTCTCACGGACCAAGAGCTTAATACATAATATGTACAAATAGAAGTGGATGAAACAGCAGTAATTAATTTCTCTAATTACGCTGCAAAAAAATCCCAGTAACAACCAATCTTTCCAATGTAATAATTTAGTTTGCAGAATTGAGGCAGAGTCACTGGTCAAAGCAGATAATAGACTGACAGGTTCAGGTAGGCACCTCAGGCGAATTGCAGCCTTGTCTTCTTTTCCTCTTTTCATAAAAAATTTTTTCCTGTAGAATCATCCAGAGTTATAGTGTGCCACCAGCCAACTGGGGCTGTACTCGTACTTGAACCTTGCAAGATAAGTACCAATACCTGAAAAATAAATTATACATGTAGGCATTTGGTTTTTACTATACAGGTTATTTGCACGTGCAGGCACAATTACATATTTTACTACCACGATCCCAGAAAGAATGGCCTAGAAGGAACATTTTTTTTACTACAAAATATTTTTGTATGTTTGCTGGTACTGAGGCTTTAACTCAAGGCCTGAAGCTGATACTCTGTCCCTTGAGCCGCAGCTCCATTTCTGGCTTTTGGGGGGTTAATAGAAGAGTAGAGTCTCACAGACTTTTCTGCCCAGACTGGCTTCAAACCTTGACCCTCAGATGTCAACCTCCTGAGTAGCTAGTATTACTTGCATGAGCCACCAGTATCCAGCACTATAAAACCTTTACAATGAATATTTAATTCTAGAGTAAGAAAATATGAACATTAAAACAATTATATATTGCAGAGTAACCTCTGTAAAAGGGGGAGTTATGCATCTGGTCGATGGTTCTATATTTCAGGTAGTCTTCATAGCTATTTTTAACCACAGAGAGGTGGAATACTGTTGACTAATTGTCCAAAGAAACCAGCCTTGTAATTGTATAAAATGATAAAAAAAATCATTTCCAGAATATATAGGCCCTCTTAATTGGATATTGCATATTTTTATCATTTTTATTAATGAAATACAATTATAACAAAACAATTTACTATGTATGGTTCATAGCAGGAATAAAATACCAGGGTCTATTTTAAGTAAAATATATCAATCAAATAAGAAAGGATGCTAACAAAGGATCCTAATTGCTCTAGAAAATAACCAGAGAATCTAAATAAAAGCTGTGAACTAAATCTGCTTCCAGTTCCTTTGGCCAGATTATTTCCTACTCTTCATTTAATCCTTAGGCTGCTTTATTAGAGCACATCATTTGTGTTCATCTTAAACTCAGTGACATTGTAAAATATGTTGTTATGAAATGAGATGTGCCAATTACTAGATTCTGAGGCCAAACGTGGGTATTGCCAGCCATTTAAAGTCCTAGTCATGTGTTTCCCCTCTCCCTTCTCCCTCTTTCAAAATAAATAGGAGGGGCTGGGAAGGTGGCTTAATGATAGAATGCTTGCCTTGCATGCATGAGGCCCTGGGTTCGATTCCTTACACTATATAAGCAGAAAAAAGCCAGAAGTGGTGCTATGGCTCAAGTAGTAGAGTGCTAGCCTTGAACTGAAGAGCTGACAGACAGCCCCTAAGCCCAGAGTTCAGGCTTCTCGACCAACAACAACAAAAAAAAATAATTAATTAGTTAATTCAAGTGGGATTTTTTTTCTTTTTTTTCCATGTAATTTTTTATTTCATTGTCAATTGACTTAATGACTAAAAGTAACA